AATAATAATAATAATAATAATGATGATGATAATGATAATGATATAGTTTTTTCAGTTCAAATATACACATAACAAATTCAAAAACCGCATAGAAAGACCAAATTACACCTAGCAAATCCAATACAAATGATGTTATAAAAAGTCCTAATACAACAATAGCAAGTTCAAAATAAACATAGAAATCTCAAATGTAACACATAGCAAATTCAAATGCCACCTAGCAAGTTCAAATGTAAATATGCTTGAACTAGAGTAAAAGGAGGCTAAGTAGGTGGTTGGCGGGTGCTCTGGTGTGGTTTGCTCCTTCTTTCCTTTCTAACATTCATCATCCTGATCTCTCCTTCTTTTTTGTGTCTGTTACTCTCTTGTAACACCTCTAATCTTCGGCACTTATATGACCTTATTGTGATGCAAGTGCTGTAAAACTCTTACTAAGCCATGCTGCATATTGATGTTTAGTTGCTTCAGTCCTATCTGAATTTATTTCCGCGGGAGCATCCTCGAGATTTTTTTCAATGGTGATCAATTCACCATAAAAGTAAACTGCTTAAGGTTGTCGTCAACTCAGTTTAAGCACATTAAAATGCTTTTCACGCCGAATAATCTTTGTGGAGGATATTTTCTTTTGCTATGTGGCATTTGAACTTGCTATTGTGTTTCCTTTAGATTTGCTATTTGTACATTCGAACTTGTTACGCACAATTGTGCACTAAAATTTCCTACAGTGGAGTCCACTTATAACGAGTCCGGAAAAAACGAGAAGTCTGTTATTAAGACACTATTCTCAAGCCCCGTTTTTTTCTCCTCTTTACCTTTGTAAATAAAATACGGCTATAGCGCTATCAGACAAACATGCGAGTCGGTTATACCGAAATATTGCTGCTGCTGTGCACAGTGCATAGGCCAATTATACATAAATGCAAAACCTCGCCAGTTGAGAAACTTGTTGGTGATCTAGTGAAACAAAGAGTGGGAGAGCCCATGTGCGTCAACAATGAAGGCCGGAGCAACCGAGTAGGGAGGGTGTGGAATGCGCAGACAAGCAGAACGCATCGGGTGATAGGCCAGCGTAAGCCTAGTTTAGATTATCAAGGCCTACCATGCCTCTCACTTCTCCGATGCGGGGATGGAGAGGTCACAGCAATGTGATGGATGGAGCGAATGTGTGATGTGCAAAAGCAGACAGAATGCACCACAGGGTGGGGTGGGGTGGAGTGTGGTGGGGGAAAACACAGCGGGCAAGTTAGCTCAGAGTTTTTTCTTTCTGATGGCCAACACCGAGCTATCAGTCCACATTGCTAGATCTAGCGCTAGAGAAAGAAACCTGATTCGATTTTTGATCAAATAAGACCTAGAGGTCATGTTGAAACAAAATCATCATCAGGGGGGATAGCTAAAGGAAATAGACAGAACACCAAACTCATAGATTAGACCAATTTTACAGTTTCCCTTGAATTTATTACTGAATC